CAGGAGTTGGAGGTTGCTGTGAGCTGAGATGCCACGGCACTCTACCCAGGGGGACAGCTTGAGGCTCCTGTCTCAGAAAAAAAAAAAAAAGAAAGAAAAATTATGTAGGTTGAGCATGGTGATTCACACCTATAATCTTAGCACCCTGGGAGGCTGAGGCAGGTGGATCACCTGAGCTCAGGAGTTCAAGACTAGTCTGAACAAGAATGAGACCCCATCTCTGCTAAAAATACAAAAATTACTTGGGAAGCTGAGGCAAGAAGAGCTCTTGAACCCAATAGTTTGAGGTTCTGTGAGTTATGATGATGCCATGGCACTCTACCCAGGGTGACCAAGACTCTCTCAAAAATAAATAAATAAATAAATAATCATATGGAAACATGCAAAAAGACATAAAATTGTAACTGTTTCACTTTTAGAAATTTATTAAAGAAATAACCAAACAGAAATATTTCTCGTAGCATGTCCATTGAAGTGTTGTTAATAATACTGAAATGGGCTAGGTGCAGTGGCTCACACCTGTAATCCTAGCACTCTGGGAGGCCGAGGTGGGTGGATCCCTTGAGCTCAGGAGTTCAAGACCAGCCTGAGCAAGAGCAAGACCCCATCTCTACTAAAAATAGAAAAACTAGCCTGTGTTGTGGCAGGTACCTGTAGTCCCATAGCTACTTGGAAGGCTAAGGCAAGAGGATCTCTTAAGCCAACAGTTTGAGGTTGCTGTGAGCTATGATATCACAGCACTCTACCCAGGGCCACAGAGTAAGACTCTTCTTTCAAAAATAAAATTTTTTTGAAATGTTGGAAATAAACTAAATATTCAACAATGAGATTGGTTTAAAAATTGTCCTTTGGGCAGTGCCTGTGGCTCAGTGGATAAGGCACTGGCCCCATATACAGAGGGTGGCAGATTTGAACCTGGTCCTGGCTGAACCGCAACAAAAATAGCCGGGCATTATGGTGGGCACCTGTAGTCCCAGCTACTTGGGAGGCTGAGGCAAGAGAATCACCTAAGCCCAGGATTTGGAGGTTGCTGTGAGCTGTGACGCCACAGCACTCCACCAAGGATGACAAAGTAAAACTCTGCCTCAAAAAAATAAAAAATTGCCCTTCATATAGTGGAATACTATGTACTGTTACCCATTTGCTTTAGATGCAGTTACTGAACTTACCAAAACAAAAATGTAAAAAGCATTTAAGTGAAAAATATAGGTTAAAAAATTCCACCATCAGTTAAAAAAAGAAATCCCCAAACAAAAAACACAGGTCCTTAGGAAAATTATTCTTGTTTTTCTTTCTTTCTTTTTGGAGACAAGAGTCTCATTTTGTTGCCCTCAGCAGAGTGCTGTGGCATCTTAGCTCACAGCAACCTCAAACTTTTGGGCTCAAGAAATTCTCTTGCCTCAGCCTCCGGAGTAGCTGGGACTACAGGTGCCCACCACAATGCCTGGCTATTTTTAGAGACGAGATCTCACTCTGGCTCAGGCTGGTCTCAAACCCATGAGCTCAGGCAATCCACCTGCCTTGGCCTCCCAGAGAATTATTCTTAAAGACAAAAATGTACATTGTATGTACCTTTAAAATGTAATCAATATCGAGTAGAGACAGACCACATCTGCTGGCTTTAGTCTCTTCTTACAAGGCAAATTCTAAACTCCCTTTTCTGCCTTTAATTGTATATTTTTCAAGTGGCATTTGTTGGAGAAGAGAGTCCTTCCGAATTTTCAGTTGATCTTTTCAGTAAAACAAAATCAAAGGAAAGTCTCTAATGACAGGGGTTCTCTATCACATCTTTTTTTTCCTGTCCGGTTTGAATACTATTCCATCGTATGCATATGCCTCGGTTGGCTTAGCCCTTCATCCATCCATGGCCAGGGGGTTGCTTCCACCTTGTGGCTATTCTGAATAATGCTGCTGTGAACACAGGTGAACAAATACCTCTTTGAGACCCTGCCTTCGCTTCTCCTGCGCCCCTGTGCTTACAGAGAGTTCACACCAGGCAGGATGATGTGGGCCGGTGGCTTGTTGTTTATTGCCAAACGCCCAGTCTCATCTGTCCTTTATGTTGCCCACCTGTCCCCCTCCCAAGACATCTGTGTTGTGACAACTGAAAGAGATTCTAGAAGTATGGAAAGAAAATCAAACCTTGCAGATTGGAGCTGTTAGGAGAAAGGGGACCCACGGGTCATTTGGGGTTTCTGCCCAGCATGTCCCCTTCTGTTCAGAGGGAGACCCAACTGCACCAGAAGCCCTCTCCCGGGCTCCAGGATGAGATGCTACTTTCATCCATCATTTCATAAATGACCACCTAAGGTATGAACCCTGTGCTCATCCGTAGGACTGCCTGGTACCAAGCAAGGGAGACAGTTAGGGGCTCTGCACGACTGGCCCTCTGACGCTTACCATGTACACGATCACAGCCAGTTCATACACAATGGACTGAGCTCCCAGCTCCACCATGCCGAGAATACCTGGTGAGGAAAGACAGCTGACACCTGCTTTTGGATAGGGCCCTATGCTCCCACCAGTCACCGTCATCCGTGTGCATACGGACCGCTCAGGAAGCTGCCGACCTCGTAGGCCCACCACTCGATGCACAGCATGAGCATGCTGGGGATGGCCAGGTGGAGGAAGGAAGCCCAGTCCTGCAGGCACTCGAGGGACCACCCTGCAGGTGGGACACGCATGATTCCGATCCATCTGGCAGTCAGGCCACAGTGAACCCGAGACAAAACCCATGTCCAAGTTGGTAGACTAAATGCAGTCCTTACCTCCCCATGTAGCTTGGTGCAGTTTCTTCCCAAGGATGTAGAGAAAGAGCAATAGAGCCAGGGTGAACTGTGAAATCATATTTGCCAGTGCAGAGCCTCTGGAAAGAATGGTCCCAGTGAGGGGGGGCTCCTTCGGTGAGGAGGGGGCTGGGCCATCCGACTATCCATCCTCGGCAGGCCCTGAAGTCTTCCTCTTCCCTGAGCAGCGTCGCCCTCCATCCCTGACAGTGCTTTCCAGAGTGGTGCAAGAACCAGCTGAAGAGCCCACTCATTCTTCTCCCCCCTGGAAAAGCCACATGCAAGTCACCCATCTCCCAGTCCCAAGAGTAGGATGGACTCACATCACCCCAAGATGCAGTTGATGGAGAAGCAGATAGTTGGCGAGGGCATTGACAAGGTTGGCTGCAAGTCCGGTTACAATCTGGGGCAGTACGATTCCCTGGAACAAGGACATGGCAGGCCATCCTTGAGACCTGCAGAGCCACCCTGCCTTTCGGCTACCCAAACGCATTTGGTGTCACAGGTCTGGAAGAAAGGCTTAGCTGGAGGAACCACAGTCTTGCTGCTCCTACTTCCCACCCCCCCATCCTCTTCTCTCTTAGGTGAGAAGTGCAGAGTTCTGGCCACGGCGAGGTATGGGCAGAAAATGAGAAAATGCAGACGGGGAAGAAGAGGAATGGCTCAGACCCGACGGTGGGAGGACTGGCAGAGATTAAAAGGGTTCAACACTTTTAATATTCAGTACTGGATGATGGGAGAAAATGACAATACTTTCTTGAACAAAATTAAAATTCAGAAAACTGACCTATGAAAATCTTAAGAAGCTCGTGTTTTTTTCTGGAGTGTGGAATGGTCCCATCAGATCTGACTCTCATGAGTACAGGGGCAGGGGCAGAAGAAACATCCAGACCTTTTGGAATCTCCAAATAAGACTTAGGGCATGAAAGCAAAATCACATAAGGCCCAGCGTAGTGGCTCACACCTGTAATCCCAGCACCCTGGGAGGCCAAGGCAGGTGGATCAGCTGAGCTCAGGAGTTCAAGACTAGCCTGAGCAAGACCAAGACCCCGTCTCTACCAAAAAGAGAAAAATTAGCTAGGTGTTCTGGTGGGCACCTTGTAGTCCCAGTTACTCGGGAGACTGAGGCAAAAGGATTGCTTGAGCCCAGGAGTTAAAGGTTGCTGTGAGCTATGACACCATGGCACTTTATCTCAAGAATAAGAAAGAAAGAAAAATTACATTGGACCAGGGAAGTAGAAATCTGTCCTGCCACACTTCAAGGTACAAAAACAGACACAGATAGGCTCGGCGCCTGTGGCTCAAGTGGCTAAAGTGCCAGCCACATACACCTAAGGTGGTGGGTTCAAATCCAGCCTGGGCCCGCCAAACAACAACAATAGCTGCAACCAAAAAATAGCCAGGCACTGTGGCAGATGCCTGTGGTCCCAGCTACTTGGGAGGCTGAGGCAGGAGACTTGCTTAAGGGTTGAAGGGTGCTGTGAGCTGTGATACCATAGGGGAATAGCTTGAGGCTCTGTCTCAAAAAAAAAAAAAAAAGAAAGAAAAAAAGAAAAACAGACACAGATAAAGTCAGCTTCAAAGGTAAGAGGAACAACTGTTCCTTCCATGGTCACACCATCCCACTGTCGGAATGACCATAGCTTCCTTATTCACTGAGAAACTTTGTCCTCTAAAATCGTGGATGGTAGGAAGTTTTGCTGTTTGAAATCATATCAGCAAAAAGAACACATGTTGCTCTTGGCTGGAGGCTGGAAGTCTCTTCAACACCAAGGAGCAGCCTCGGCTTCCAGCTGGGCACAGAGCTGCCGGGCTCTGCTTCTCTCCTCCTCCTGCAGCCACTCAGCCTTCCAGTTGCCAAGGAAGAGGAAATGCGTCTGTGTTGCAGTCCAGACTGGATGTTCACAACTCTACTCCAGCCCTGCTCTGCACCTACCAACCACGGCCTCCTTAAATGTCACCTGAACCCCACACTTCTCCAGACTCATAACTCCTCTTTCTCTGTCTGCTGAGACACCCCAACTCTGGTCTCTGTCAGCGCGATGGGTCAATAAGCCCAGCTGCCACCTGTGGCCAGACTGCAGGTGTGTCTTGGTGATCATTGACTGATGGGGTGGGGACCAGAGTCTTGGCTGACCCTTCATGTGGGCCACTTATTTACCCAGAGACCAGGTTGGTTTTTAGTGAGGAAATCTGTGACCAGATTTGTGTTTCAGGCAGATGGCAGCAGGGAGCTGCATGAAAGGCCTCTGAAATGACACAGAGGGACAAATGACAGGAAGTGAATTAGGCCACGGCACAGAGGGGGGAGGGGCAGGCAGAAGCTACAGGACCTTCACAGGAAGGAAAGATGGAGAGATGGAAGTAACAGGGCCCAAAAGGCCAGTTGCCTAGGAGAGAAGAAGGCCAAGACCCCTCCCCGGGATGGAATGCAGGAGAGCAGAGGAGTAGGGCAGGCAGAGAGGCCAGGCCTACAGGGTGGGCATCTCTTAAAGGCAGCTGGAAAGAATGATGAGGGTCAGCGACGTGAACGTGACTGTCAGGACACAGAGACAGAGTGATGGCAACCTTGCAGTGAGTCACTGGAGTCACTGTCCCTTCCAAGGCCTCTCACTCTCCCCTGTAAGTGTGAGTATCCCCTACCCTCAGGCCTTGCCCGGCTCTCTACCGACCCTACACCCTCTCCTGGATACTAAATGTCTCCAGAAACCCAGCTGCTTCTCATAGGCACTACACTCAGCCATGGTCAGCTGTCTCCCTAGGGGCTGTCTTCCCCCTGCCAATTAGTTTCTTTCCAAAACTAACACCCCCAGCAGAGAACACAAGGCCCAACACGTGCTGACCAGGGGCCAGCCCACCTCTCGGGAGCCCCCCTCCCCCCGCCCCCATCCCCGCAGTGCCCTAACCAGACTCCACATGTCCCACCCTCTGTGAACAGGCTCCTGCTCCTCTGTGTGGGAGCCCTCCCCACTTCCTTCTACATGTCCTCTGTAATCCAGTTCAAACCTCCAGACCCCTCTCAGCTCTTGGCTCCTGCTTCTAGATCCTTCCTTATGCCTCAGGGTATTGGAGACAAGGGTTTCCTCACTTGGTCAAGTCAGAACCTGAGATTGGGGCCACCACAGCTTGGGAGGCTGAGTCAGGCAGAAGGCCCTGCCAGGTGCTAAGGCGCCTACCTTGCTTCAGATCGAAAGGAGATAACCAGAGATAAATCAGGTATGCTGACGTCCTTCTCTAGTCCACAGCTATTTCAAGTACACAGTTCTAACACTAATCAAGACTTGAAATAGTCTTGTTTTGTTAATAGGATATTAGCTTAATTTTAAGAGTGCTGGATACGTGGGGAGCTTCTGTTTTTCTCCTCTCCCACATCCTTCCCTGGTACATCTGCCTGGAAGGCCTGCCTGTGTGGCAGCATTCATTGCCTGGCACCCCTGTTTGCCTGAATTTACCTGGAAGGAAGCTGACAGTCCTACATATGTTGGCCTCATAGATCCAAACCCACCAAGTCAAGGCAACCACGATGGGGCCTTTGGCTATGACCGTGAACCACATGTGAAGAGCTCTGGTTGACATTAGGCATTGTTACAATTTGAGCTTTCATGTCCCCGCTGAGGAAAATGGGGCCTTTCAGACAAAAAACAGCAGAGGTCAGCTCTCTGGAGCCAGACAGGCCACCCTGACCCTCCATTCTGTCTGGGGAGTGGACCAGCATGCACCCTTCCTCCTAGGGAGCTGGGATCAAGTGCAGAGCCAAAGAACACCAAGGCTCTGATCCTACCTTGCCAATGACAATATTTCCAAGTAGGAATTGGATAAGAATTTTCCAAAGCCAAAAATAACGTATTCTTTCCTTGATATCACTTAACAAACCTTTCAACATCAAAGTCCTGTGTGTACAACACTAAAGAATGTTTCCCGGTGGCTCCTGGTAGGTTAGCTCCCCTCACCCTGCCAAGTAGCCCTGGCCCTGGGGGTCTTCAGGGCCCCTCATCCCAGAAAGGTACAAACTCCCATTAGCCTCCCCGAGAAAAAGACAGCATTACCTGGTTGAGCAAATATTTAACTTGTAACATATAAAGAAAGGTTGCCTACGAGAGAACAAGAGAGATAAATATTAACGTTCAGCCTCGCCACACAACAGTGAGGTCACACGGCCCAGAACTGGAGCCACAGAGGCTGTCATCTCAGGGTGGGGCCAGGGGCAGGGGGGCCATGCCTGGGTGTTTCCTGCATCTCCTTCATGGACGCACATAAACCAGGCAACCCCTCATCCAGCAAAAGGAGGTATAGTTTCCTTGGGAGCATGGCGAGTGCTCTTCTGGGGACACTGCATGGAAAGCAGGTCCCAGGACAAACTCCAGGTGGGCACTTCCCTGCAGACCAGGCTACAGCCCTCCTTGGTAGAATAATTAAAGCATATCACACTTGGAAGGTTTCAGGATAAATTAAAGAGCATGATGCCAATGAGGAGGGCAAATACTGAATTGTGTCCCCTAAATTCCTTTGTTGAAGCTCTGACCCCTAATGTATCTGTATCTGTATCTGGAGTCACCGGTCTTCAATAAGGTGATTAAATTAAAATGAGGTCATCAGGGTGGGACCCTGATCCAGGAGGACTGGTGTCACCAGGAAGACAGGAGACACCAGGAGTGTGGCACGGGCCAAGGGACAGCCATGTGCAGAGGTGGCAAGAGGGAGACCATCGGCAAGCCAAGAAAAGAGGCTGCTGGGGAACCATGCCTCTTGGCAGCCTGACCTTGGACTTCCAGCTTCCAGACCGTGAGAAGTAAATTTCTGTTGTTTAGGGGCCTGGTGTGGTGGCTCACACCTGTAATCCTAGCACTCTGGGAGGCCGAGGTGGGTAGAATGCCTGAGCTCATGAGTCATGATCAAGAGTGAGACCCTGTCTCTACTAAAAATAGAAAAACTAGATGGGTATTGTGGTGGGCACCTGTAGTTTCAGCTACTGGGAAGGCCGAAACAAGAGGATCACTTGATCCCAAGAGACTGAGGTTGCTCTGAGCTATGATGCCATGACACTTTACCCAGGGCATAGAGTGAGACTCTGTCTCAAAAAAAAAAAAAAAAAAAAAAAAATTCTGCTGTTTAACCCCATCTGTGGTATTAGGTCATGAAAGGCCAAGCAGACTAATTCAGCTACACTGTCCAGCTGAATAACTTTGGCTTTTATAGCTCAAGGACTATGCACTGCTCTGTCAAATATTAATGCAAACTGACAGTTTTTGTGTGATCACAGCAGACAAAAAGTGGTCTAAAGGTTCTAAGTGATGCCCTCAGGGGCTCTGAGTTGGTTAAGACTTTCCCCCTGGGCTCAGCATCTGTAGCTCAGTGAGTAGGGTGCCAGCCACATATACCAAAGGTGGCAGGTTTGAGCCCGGCCTGGGCCTGCTAACCAACAATGACACCTGCAACTGCCCCCCCACACAAAAAATACCCGGGCATTGTGTCGGGCCTGTGATCCCAGCTACTTGGGAAGCTGAGGCAAGAGAATCATTTGAGCCCAAGAGTTGGAGGTTGCTATGAGCTGTGATGCCATGGCATTCTACTGAGTGTGATGTAGTGAGACTGTCTCAAAAAAAAAAAAAAAAAAAGAAAGAAAAGACTTTCCCTCTGTATGAAATAAAAAGTCTGCACTCTTCACAGACAGTCTTGGAGGTCCCTCTAGCTATAGGAGTTCAGCCTTTTTGAGTCACCTTGATCCTGGTGTTTCTTTGAGACAAACTTAATAGGCATAATTGAAACCACACTTTCTAGAATCATCTAAGGCTGAACCACTACATTGGGTTCCCAGATAGTAAAGCTACTTTTCACCAGCAGACCTCAAGAAGGGACCCTCTTTCCTCTTGAACACTTACAGGAAGAGCTGGAATGAAGACCATGACGTAGGTCTGGGTCAGCCTGCATTAAGGGAAAAAAAAGAGAACAGTAACAGGGGCCTCTGCTTCAAGGGAAAGTAATGAAAACTGCCTTTTGCCTTCTCAGCTCTTTCTAAATTAGCAGGCTTAAAGTGTTGGAGCAAATGTAAAAATTGGCATGTAGAGCTTGTTATCTAAAACCCCAGCTGAACTTTCTTAGTTATTAAGTCTATAGGCCTAGGACAGGGGTTTTCGACCTTGGCCTGAAAGCCAGCTGACTCCCACAGCCTTCCTGGCTTCTACCAGGAGCAGCCCCTCTACCACAGTTATGATAACCAGAAATGTCCTCAGCTATTGCCAGAAGTCCGTTGTGCTCAGAGCCACTGATTTAGGGTAGGGACTGTTCAAAGGTCTTAATGAATTCAGCCAGTGGGTCATGAACTTGGCAGCACATTGGAATCATCTGGGGTGCTCTGAGAGCTCCTGATGCCCAGGTCTCACTCTGGACCAATTAAAACAGAATCCTAGGTGGTGGTGACCAGGGGAACGGGTAGATTTGAAAAGCACTCAGCAGGGCCAGCCACTGTGACTGGCGTCTGTAATCCGAGCACTCTGGGAGGCTGAGGTGGGTGGATTGCTTGAGGTCATGAATTCGAGACCAGCCTGAGCAAGAGCAAGACCTCTGTCTCTAAAAAATAGCTGGGTGCTGCTTGGTGCCCTTATCATAGTGGTTACGGCGCTAGCCACATACACTGAGGTTGGCGGGTTCAAACCCGGCCCGGGCCAGCTAAACGACAGTTGCAACAAAAAATAGCCGAGTTGGCTCAGCGCCTGTGGCTCAAGTGGCTAAGGCACCAGCCACATACACCTAAGGTGGCGGGTTCGAATCTAGCCCGGG